CCGCCACCCCGCCCTCCGCTCCCCGCCCTCCGCACCCCGCCCTCCGCACCCCGCCCTCACCCGGAATGTAGGGACTGTCTGCATTCCTCGTGTTTTCAGTTGGCCACGTCGGCATTACATCTGGCCGCGGGCGCGAACGACGTAGAATTGTGTAGATTGTTATTGACGCATAAAGCGGACCCCAACACGGTCTCGAGAGTAACACTCACTCACCGACCAACCGACCGACCTTTGGCACCTAACGGGATCTGTTTAACACGATCTGTTTAACACGATCTGTTTAACACGATCTGTTTAACACGATCTGTTTAACACGATCTGTTTAACACGATCTGTTTAACACGATCTGTTTAACACGATCTGTTTAACACGATCTGTTTAACACGATCTGTTTAACACGATCTGTTTAACACGATCTGTTTAACACGATCTGTTTAACACGATCTGTTTAACACGATCTCTTAACACGAGCTCTGATGTCAAAATGTTCCTACTGAAGATGTCAAACACGAGATCTCAAAATGTTTTCAGGTTGGAGCCCTTCCACTCTTGGCCGCCGTTCACTTGAGGAACCCCAGCATGGTGGCTGTATTGCTCGAGCATGGGGCGAACACGCGGCAGAGCAACAACGTAAGTTCCCAAAGTCCCAAAGGATGTTTGCGAGTGATGCACACGCACAGTGACTGCCCCGTAATAAAGGCTGTTCTTTAGGATGGGTTGACCGCCCGCGAGCTGGCTCTGAGGCTGCACGCGGACGATTTGTCTAGTCTGATGGACAGTCACCCAGTTGGTCGTGTGCCAGATTCTTTGCAGCGATAGTTAGATGTTGGCTAGGGGTTAAACCGGTCATGGCTAGTGGTTAAACGGGTCATGGCTAGGGGTTAGAATTGACTGGTGAGTGGGACTAAACGATGAGTGCTGGCGGTCGGTTGGTGTGACTAGTGGGTGTGGAAAAAGGCGTTCAATCTCTACAACAGATGCCGAGCCCGCCGACGCCGGAGTCTGTGGGCGTGTCGGTGGGTGTGGCGTCGTCTGCGGTTTGTATCACAATGCCACGCGCCGCACCGGCAGAGTGAACTTTGAAGCCGAGTTGGAGCCACCCGAGTTGTCGTACAGCTTGGAGAACGCCGCCGTTAAGCTCCCAGTCGCCGCAGAGATGATATTGATCAGAGCAGCCTTCTTCAGCTTCGGTTTTGGTGCATTGGACACAGGCAAGTTCAAAGGCTGCCGGCTCGAGGTTTCCCAGTGCCATGGCGGCCTCGGCTTCAATATAAAGGGAACCTGGCAGTTGATTCCACACAACCAAGTCGTCCACGAGGAAGGCGAGGCAGTCATTGCTGCCTAGTCGCAGACTCGTCAGTCCGTCGGCTACTGAATCTGCGTCTAGGACGTCGCCCTTGAAATCCAGAAACGCGTCCCTCACACCGTTCACGTACGCGACCACGCGGTTGTTCTGCCGCGTCACCGCCACACGGTACCACACCTGCAACGCCAAATGCGCGTGCAGGTCGAAGAACTCTAGCCCGTGCGAACTCGCTACACTCACACGCAATCCGCGACTCTGCCCGTTCAGCGCGATCGACAGGTACGAGTGACCCGCCTCCACGCCAGTTACCGCCTCGCCGTCGCCAGACTCAATCACTAACCGAAAAGATGTCGCCTGTGTCACGTGTCACGCACCTGCACGACCTGTGGGAATCAAACACCTGTGCGTGTGTGAAAAAGACACACCTGTGCCGGTCGGGTCGATCTTACGCGGACAGTAGGAATCCTGGGCTTTGTCAGCTGTATCTTTGATAAGGTAGAGCCAGAAGGAGTACGCCCATTCGTGCGTGGTGGCGGAACCGATTGCCAGTCCCGGGATTTGAACCAGGGTGTTTTTGCCCAGCCGGGCACTGTAGCCACTGCCTCCGCCGAAGGGAGACGGCCCCGGCGTCACAACGCCCGAGCCGTGGTAGCCGTGACCGCTCACGTCGACTGCGTGCCCCGAGTCGAAGAGATAGCGCGCAACTAATCCCTCAGCCCGCGCAGGAGGCATAATCACGTACTCGCCGTTTCGAAGACATAGCGCGTTCTCGAATGTCACATCGCATTGAACTCCCGCGTTCGAAGCCACACCCTGGACAACACCCCCCGGGACAGCCGACTGTTGCTCTTGGATTTGCGCGACCCCTGCGAACTCGGGCGCTATTAAGGACATCTGTCCATGTTCGGCACCCCGTATCGACGCCGCCACAGCCAGTAGGGCAGCAAACCTCCTGTACATCGTCTTGTCTCCCACTGAAGCAGGCTCTGGATGCGTCAATGGTCGTCTGAATGATGGTGCGTGATCTGGTTGAGTCAGTCCCAGTGTTTAAGAGTCTTCCTAGCTACCTGCCGAGATCTAGCTGTCTGTCTGTCGTAACCTAACTACCTTCGCAATCTGTCTATAATTGAAGGGTAAAGTGAAAAATGAGCGGCATCTCCCCCGTGTTTGACCCTCCCTCTGTCCTTCGAAGAGACTTGCCAAGAGACTTACGTCCCAAGAGAGCTGTCACGAGACTTGACAGGCGTCGAAGTCCGGTCTGACAGGTCCACAGGACTTTATACTGGCGCCTTACTGATTGGCGAGAGCGTGTCGCCACTCGGTGAACATGAGGAGGATGTAGTCTCGTTCCTTTTTGCTGCCGAAGACCATCGAGAGTTCTTCACCAGCGGGGTTTTCGGCGGTGGGCGGACCGAGAATTGAGATACACTTATCGGGACTGACACCACTGACACCTCCAACGCCGTATGCTTTGAATGCAGAGGTTTCAGCACCTTTGGAGAATCGCACGCGTCCGGCGGGTAATTGGGAGGTGAATTCGAGAGTACCAAGGTCGATGTTGGCGGCCTTGACGGGTGCTTCCGTATCGGCTTGACCCATGCTAGCCATGCGGGTAAGGAGGCCTTTGAGCTTATCTCGTTTCCGGATCTTACCGGTGGCGGCAGCGGGTTCTTCCGCAGCTCCCGAACTTACTCCGGCCTCGGATTGTTTGCGCCACTGGAGGTGTCTGAGAGTCTGGTTGGCTCTCCAGAACACGCCAACCTTCTCTTTCGTGGCTTCGTCCACAATTTCGCAAATACCACCTTTTCGCAACTCGTCTTTGTAAGCCAAATCCTGCACGCCATTCGGATACGCCTCACGGTGCCAGGAGGTTAGGCGGTCGGCATCGGGGTGTAGCTGTACGTAAGGTTGGGCAGTGTCTGGTCCTAGACTTTTCCACACACCGAAGAACCTCTCGACACCTTTGCGTATGTGCTTGGGCTGTTTGTCCATCATTTTTTGCACGCTCTTGTACGACTGCCGCAACTGCTCATCGAATGCAGGACTACCCCAGGTGTAAGCGCCATTCATGACCAATTGCGCAATCAGCTCCCAAGCCTCGTCAGTTTGTTCTCCCACACTCTCGATCGTTAGCGACATGTTGTGGTCGACGGCCTCCATTACATATTGCTGGTCACCCTCCAACAGTGATTCAAGTGCACCTGGTACATAAGGCACATAGCTCACAAACATACAGAGCAGGTACAGGGCGGGTGTAAAGGCGCGTGCATTTTGTCTACTGGCCTCCACCTCCATGAGGACACTCGTGCGATGCATCGCGCTACCCAGCGTGTACACGTCCAGCCCCATCTGGTCGACGAAGGTCGGGTCCTCCTGTCGATCGGTCGGTCCGTAGCCGCTACCGCCACCTGCCTCCTCAAGAGGTTGGCCGTGAAGCAGTGTATACACCTGAGAGCTGTGATCTGCCTCAGGCGTAGACAGAATCTTAACCAAACCAGCTCCCACTGCCAACGCCTCCGTAATGATGGCCGAACTCGGATCCGATCCCTGACATAATTGTTCCAGCCACCAGACCCATGTACTGATACCGCCGGCTTGGCAGTATGCACCGAAAGTTTCCGGCCACTGATAGCCAGCCATAAGTTTACGCAAACAACGGAAACATAGCGCAGCAATTTCTTGTTTCAGAACATCCGGTACTGCGTTTTCAGCGTTCTCTTCCGACTCAGCCGGGAAGTATTCCCCGTTCAGAATGGTCGTGACCAGTGTGAGTCCGTCGTAGCTCAAGATCGCCTCGATGTTCTCCGTCGTTTTCGAGATTTGACCCAACGCTTGCACACCAGACTTCAACACTTCCGGGCTGTAACTACCCCAATCTGTAAGCGCCGACAGCACATATCCAGCGCCATCTGACTCAGTAATGGCTGCGGCATTTTCCTCGAGTCGACACAGCGACGCGATGGAGTCGAGAATTAGAGCGATCAATGTCGCGTCCTGTCGACTTTCACTACGTCCAGCAACAATCAGAGGGGCCAGAATGGGTTGGAACTTTGCGCTGATTCGTGGTACATATTCCTGGGTGATATTCGCCAGTGTGAGTAAACTAGCACTTATAACACGATCCGGAATCACTTCCGCTTGTGTCAAGATAGCATAGTATGCTTCTGCCAGTCCGTTGTCCACGATCGGGTCGATGTTAGGTGTATATAACGCCAAGTTAGCAATAGCCTTGAACAGCGCTGTCAGAGCGCGATATGCATGTTCGCTATCATTGCCATCATAACTAACGATAGCACTGGTAAGTGCAGCCGGTCCACCCACGCGACTGCTACCATACAATGCCTTAATATCATCCCGTCGGTAAGAGCTATTAGCTACAAGTGCAGCGGCAGCATTCATTTCTGGGTAGTTCTGAGAGCGATTATTCAATACCCATACTACAGTTTTAAGTCCGTCAAGTCGAACAAAAGCATCGTCATTTCCACGATGATCGAGTACGATATTGCCTAAAGCGGATAGAACGTTGGTTACGACACCTACGTTTGGGGCATCACTTAGATGGTCTCGTAGTACAATGAGAGATTCCTCGACACCATTTGCTTTTCCAATTAGGTCACGGCAGGCTGGGAAGCCAGCCAAGATACCTAGTAGGAAGAAGCCATCGATCAGCACTGTAGGGTCTTTATTTTTTTTTAATTCATCCACCAACCGACGACAAACATCTTGCTTCTTAATTAAGTCAACATGGTTGGGATGTAAAGCTCGACGCATAGCCCTATAAAGTTGTCTCAATAAAGGGTTCCCGTATGTCCCTTCATCATAACGATCCCAACATTCCAACATCACCTCCTGTATCCCTGGATCAGGAAAGACCCTACGATCCACGGCTACTCTCTCAACTGCTTTTAGACGAGGAATCATATGATCCTGACGATTATAAACCACTTCGTCATCAAGACATACACGAATATTATATTGCAATGTTTCGGCAATACCCTCCAAGTCCGCTACCGTTCGTCCACCTGGTGTTGTCTTTAATGCAATCGCTGATAATGCTGACGAGGCAGGTGTACAAATTTCCACATCTTTATAAGCACCTGTCTGCTGTGCCGCAATCAGATTCGTTACACAAATAGTATCATGTACATTCCATTCTAACACACTATCGCACAAATCATAATCATTTTCCAACCATAACTCCCAACATAAACATCCCCATTTGCATTCATCTCCTCGGAACATTTCTTTAGTTAATCTTTCATCTGCCGAATATTCATTCAATCGTCCCCATACAAATTCAAACCATTGCATTAAAATTGGATCCTGATCTTTGAACGGTGAAATCTCCTGTTCGTCTACCAGCCGTTTCTTCAAATAACCATACACCTTACGAACTGTCAACTCCTCTGGAGGTGGGGCCCCCTCCAAATGCTTTACTTCCAGATTCTTGATTACGTTACCATTACGGAAATCTATACTGATTACATCCCCATCCTCGTTAACAATTTCAGCTAGCTTTTGCTGAATCGTGTCCAACAGGTGCTCAGTCTCCGCGTCCTTGGTGGCATTCTGATCAATTTGAGCAAGCTTCTGATGCAACGCATCCATATCCACAAACTTGGTCTTGAACACGGGATCGTCCAGCTGGTCATTGAGCACCCGGAGATATTGATTGAGGGACTCCGTCTCATTAAAGATAGGAGGTGTCTCCTCATTATTTGTTTGCATGATACGTTCATGAACCTGCTGCGTCTCAATAACCGAGTGCGTTAAAGCCACCGTCTCCGGATCGCCGTGAAGACCCTCCTCTAGCGGCGATAAAATGGATTGAATATTGCCCTGGGCCGCATCTAAACAGTCACCCAGTGTGTCAAGCAGCTTCATAGTAATCGCCTCCGGCCCATCACTCGCTATCAGCTCCTTAATCTTGACAAAGTAACGACCTTTCACAATATCTCCTTTGTCATCCATTCCAGCAAGTTTCCGACTCAAAGCCTCAAGTAGGGCGTATCCCTTCTCTCTCCCAAGTGCATTCTCGATGTCATTAATGGCATCTGCGAAGTTCATCACACTTGCGCCCGTTTCGGAGTCCACATTGTCTGAGTCATTCAATTGGTTTATCAATGCATCAACCGCGGTCATGAGTGCATCCCCCAGGCCCGTGGGCACGCCGCTGCGAGCGACGCCTTCGAGGAGACGGAAAAGTTTCGCCATATCGCCTTTGCCCTGTTGCGCTTCGGAGACGATCATTTGCGTCACCTTCTCCTTCCATTCGGCATTCTCAAACAGTGCGTCAACAAACGGCGAAGGTGGACCTCCCAGGATGGCATCCAACAGCTTCACGACGCTGCCCTTTACGTCCGGTTCGCGATCGAAGTCTTCGAGGATAGACAGTTCAATAGGCGTCGCCAAATGCGCCTCAAGAAAAGTCTCGCGCCAATCCGGATTAAGAGCCATGTAGGTCATGGCTTCCGAGGCCGCCTTCACGGACGGCCCACGCGAAGACAGGGTTGAGCTTTTGTTGTCAACGCTCAGCAAAACTTGGTGGCAGTTGTTCTCCATAAGCGTCACGTACCCGAAGGGATTATCCTCGTATTTTTGTGCGAGCTGCGACATGATCTTAACACCCATGCCGGCTGCGTTCTTGTCAGCGCCAGGACCGGCGCCCATGGCCGTCAAACATTGCAGTAGCTCGGGCATCTCAGCCATGTTAACCTCTGGGTCTTGGATGGGTGCGCGCAGGGCGGCTACGATGAGCATGAGATTACGGTTCATGCCAGTCATGTCACTGCCGTTATAGGCGTCAATCGCAGCACGGATATAACCTTGCATTTCGGTCCCCACGGGCGGCAGGTTGCTGTACAGGTTGTTCACGGCTTCGCGGAAGCCCGCGTGCGACCCCTCATATTTACTCACAAGTGCGCTCAACACGGGCGACATGGCAAGTTTGGAGGTAGCCGTGTCCTTGCCGGCACGGGTGAGTGCATTGAAACCGGCTATCGCCCCTGCAATAGTGTCAGGGTCGTCTTCCGCACTCCCAATCAATTCAATCACCTGCTGCACTGTAGTAACCAACGTGCTATCCTCTGTCTGCTGGTCCCAGTTATCACGAAGCTCACCGCCCGCATGACCCAGTCCCTCAAGCACCTGCAGCGCCAATGGGCCCTCTGTCGGGTTGTCAAGTAGTCCGGAGAGCAAAGCTAGGTCGATGTGTTGCAGTACAAGGCTCGACAAGTCTGCGTTACCAGCGGCAAGACCACCAGCGAGAAGTGCGAGAAGCGCTCGTCGGTCGCGTTCCGTGGGTAGTCGTTGGGCGGCGTCCACCAGTGCTTGTTTCATTTCCTCGCTGGTCGCAAGGTGGCGTGTGCGCGGATCTTGCGCGATCGACTTAAGCAGCCGTCCGCACTGGTCAACCACGCCGGCGCTGTCGCCATGCTCATTGAGCGCTTGGCAACAGGTGGTTACGGTGCTGTACATGTAGGCGGCATCTGCGTCTTTATCTTCGCCAAAGAGCTGTCGTGCGGCAAAAGCCGAACTCTCGATACCCTCAACCGTCGGGACCTTGGACTCCTCTTGCAGCAACCACGCTGACGTCTTAAAGAAGTCCTGCTGACGCAATTTGGGCGCAATCGTACTCGCTAAGGCACCCACCACACCCATCGCCTCCGACGTAATCTGATCCCGCTTCGCTTCGGAGTGATTTTCGCGGTTGTTGGCTATGGTACTCAACAACTCGGCACCTCCCAACCTTCCGACCACGCGTGCTACGTCACGAGACATACATAATCCCCGGGCCTCCACAAGGGTGTTGACCATGTCCCCCTCGCCTGCTTCCCCTTTGCCATGCGCCGTCTGCAGTTCCTGGACAATTCGCGCACCTGCCGCCTCTGCCTCCGCCATGTCCATAAGGAGCGGGATGACACGGCCTGCCTCTTCGCGCACCTTGGCGTTAGCGCCATGAGCACGGACGGCAGCCAACACCACTGGGAGTGTGCCTTCTCGTTTGAATATGGGTAGGGCTCCCTCAGCATTTACGATCTGATACCGGATGTTAACCAAACCCTGCAGCAATGAGTTGGCTTGGAACTTGGATCGCTTGGTAAAGTTGACGATAGCCACTGGCGCATCTAACTCCAACGCCTGCTGAGCACCCGGACCTTTGAGCACACCTCCCAGTGCCTCTTGAGTAGCCAAACTCACATGTCGAAACTCCTCAAACGTAGAATGGCAACGCAAGCAAGCTTGTACCACTGCCGTTACTGCCGCTGGGTCATTAACTTTACCCGCCTGAGTCACCGCCGCTAGACCAGACAAACCCTCAATCAACACCGACTCCTTCGTTGGTTCGGCCAAAATAATCCTGGCCAAACCAGAGTCAGCCAAGTTTGAGCTGAGTTCGCCGATTCTGGAGTCCACCAAACTCGGAGGGGCAAAACTAAACACGGATCCGCTGACTTTTAGACCTGCCAGAAAGAGCGCGGCTCCTGCCTTATCACCTAAGGGCAATGCCGTGCGTAAAGCTGCCGACTCGAAAACAGTTTCCTCTTCCGCACTCAACATATCCGCACTCACCCCTAAAGTGGCGTTAACACTTGCGTCCATGGCTTCCGGTGTCCCTACGCCTGGAATGGAGCATAAGACGGAACAAGAGGCGACCTGTTTCAAGGCTTCCAGAGGGTCAGCGCGCCAGTTGGCGAGAGCACCATTTCCTGCGATTGCCACAAGAATATCGCTCGTGCATACAGTCTCCAGAATCTCCTTACCCAACTGAGTGATACCTGGGTCGTTGAGCACGTAGATCGCCAGACAAATTGCCGCAATCAGGTTCTCATTCGCCATTGCACTTTCAGCGTTCGCACTGGCACTTACATTCCATAATACGTCCAATGCAAGTCTTGCTAATGAGACATCGCCAGCAGCTGCAGCTAGACTCTTTGCCAACGCATCGAAACCACCGTCCTGAGCTGCATAACTCACATCTGCCACACTCGTCGATAAATTAACTAACGCACGTAAACACGCAGACTGGTAACGATCCGCATCTAAATGATACTGCGAAGCGGTGAGCAGGATCTCGAAGGCACTACTGTTAATTAAGGATGGTACCAGACTAGCGTATGTAGAGATCTGATCGATGAATTCCAAGGCACCATATTGGAAGTCTTCATTCATACAATTTTCTTGAATCAGGTTAAGAATCTTCGATAACAAACCACGACTCTCAGCCTCCTGTGCCACCGTTTCATTCGTACAGACGGCCGCTAAAACACCTGCCAATCGGGCGGCCACAGGGCCATCCAGACTAAGGTCGAGTTGGGCAAGTGTGTTGTCTAGTGTGTCTAGCAACCCGTTGTCCAACATTACCTGGTCCTGACCGCTCTGGGCAATACGGGTTAGTAGAGTGAGGACTGAGTTGACACCTGATAGCTCCTGTTCTCGGTTCTCACCCGACGCCAAGTTGGCCGCCGAGTTCTCCAAAGCCGCCAGCAAACTCGGAATACCACCCGCGTCTACAATCTTTTGGGCGTAGGAAGTGTCTGCCGCTAACGCGCCCAGCACGGCATACGCTTGCAGACGAGAAGGCATATCGGCATCCGGTGAACCCACTGTGTTAAGAGCGTCGAAGAACTCCTCGTCCGTAAACAGCGCACTCGTAGCTTTACACGCCAGGTTACTAATCTTCTTGTTGTTGCAGTCAATGGCTGGGGCCAATTTATGGCATAAACGACACTTCTCCTCGATAGTCTCATTTGCTTTCAGATAGTCGTTATTTGCCTGACCCAGAAACCGCAAACACGTTTCCGCCTTGCCCTGCTCAGCCTTATCCTTGAAGTTACAGCTCTCTAAATAATCTGCCGCAATACTCGGTACACCCGCCTGCGCCAACTTCGGCACCACACCCGGATTTCGATTACCGATCCCGCATAACGCCAAGACTGCCGTACCCTTCGTCTCTGCACTTATCCCCTCTGCCTCCTTCAATGAAGACGCAATACCCTCCGCTATAGGCTCCGCCTCCGCACCGGAAATCAAGTCGTAGTTCGCCGCCTTATCCACCGAATAAATCAACGGAGTCAGTACCCCTTCCACCTGGATACCAACCGCAGCCAAACTGGACAACACCTTCGCCACCGGCGTCTTCGCCAACGCTCCCTGCACATTCAATGACTCATACTCCTCCGCCGCCTCAAATATGGCCTTCAGAACTAAAACACACACACATCTGTGCACACGAAACACACGTGTGTGCACACGAAACACACGTGTGTGCACACGAAACACACGTGTGTGCACACGAAGAAAAGGAACCTACTTTTGGCGATGGCCTCGGCTTGTTCGTCATGTTGAGGGGTCTTGAGTTTGCTAGCTAGACTATTAAGCGCACTTATCACTCCGCCGTCATCAATATAAAACGCCTCCAACGCGTTTTCGCGGTATTTGATCTTTGGAGGAGTCAACAACTCGGCTAAGGCATTGAGACCGTATTTGCTAAGCATCAGGGACTCCTTATTGGACGTCACCAAACCGACAGCCGTAGCAACACCAGCATCTCCACGAGCTAAGGGAAAGCACGTTGTTAACAATTGGGGTTTGGGGTGACGTCTACCAGACCTGGGCTGCGGCAGCAGCCACGCGTGCGGTAGCGGCAGAGACCACGTCTGTGCTAGGTGAATGCGGGGGTATTGGGAAGGTGCCGGGGTGTTTGATCACTCACGCCTGGTAGCCATAACTCCGTTGTAGAGTCCTGTTGTAAAAAAGGAAGTATTTCGACGGAAAAGAGCTGGTTTAATGAACAAAAGGAAAAAGGAAGTGAGTCAATGAGTAGACGAATAATATAGCCGCTAGGGTGCTGCGCCACCGAGAATATAAGTGGCCATGCCTATATGGCTCGCCAGGAGCGTAAGTGAAGAGAACGTCATGCAGTAGAACGCAGACGCGTAACCTCGATGTTCGAACCAGTCGGAGAAGAGAACCCAGGACAAGATGGCGGTCAACCATAAAGGCAACCAAACGGTCAATAGAGGTTTTAAGAGGCGCAAGCATTCGCGCCAGTTCGTGGTTTTCCCTTGGTAGGTGCTTCGCCATTTTGGCGCCGTGGCGATGGCTAAAGGCAGGAGCGACATGTACCAAACGAAGTATTGCACGGTAACAACTCCGTTGAAAGCCACAAACAACAATACCTGGACAAACAAAGCGAGCGGAACTGATATATGCACCAACACAAGGCCACTCAATATCACCAGTAATTTCTAAGATTATTGATAGATTATAAGTGTGGTACATATCAAGTGCGGTATGTCTGGACACACGTGTGCGACATGACCATGTGAAGTATCAAGTCCAATTAGGTTCAGTGCTGCAAGTCCAGTAAGGTGAAGTAATTACATTGCCGATTGTGAGCAGAATTTTCATTGGAAGTGCTCCGAGTAGGGTGGGTAGTTTGAAGCCGTAGTACCTCCTGGGCGTGATGAGGGTGGCCCAGGTGGAGACGACGGCCATGTTGTGTCGATGGTCATGTCGCACGAAGTGGTAGAGGAAGCCTTCGTAGAGTGCGACCCAGCCGTACCGGAAGTAGACGATAGCAGTGAGGCCGAAACCGACCGCGACGGAGAGGAAGCCGAAGAGCCACTGGTCAGTGGTGAGTCTCTTGGCCCACTCGAGCCCGATCCACAGGGGCCAGAAGGCGATGCGGGTGGCCAAGATGAAAGCGTAAGTGAGTCGGGTCCTGAGAGTCAAGCGCCGGTTCTGACTGGCTTCGTACAAGGCAAACCAGCCAGTGGCCGTTCGGTCAGATTCGAGGGTGGCTAGTTCTAGGCCATTAGCTTTCTTGGAGGAATGTCCGACGACGTGTGAGATGACTTGTCGTGGGTCAGTCCAGCTGTTCATGCCGATGACCAGGGGGACAGTAAAGAGGATGGGGTACATCTTCATGTGGATACTAAGTCCGTGGAGGCATGCAGCGAGCAGATATCGTTTCCGAAGGTAGTAGTAGATGGTGGCAGCCACGAGCGAAGTCATTATAGCATCGGAGTTTCCCCTGGCAGCAACTTGTATTATTACCGGGTTCAGAGTGACGAGAGCCATCAGTATCCGCTCGGGCACCGGCGCAACGTGGAAAAGACGCAATATCCGCTTGATGTAGTGGAAGGTAACGAAATTGAGTATGCAAAAGACGTACTTTCCTGCGCTGTCCCCGAACAACCAATTAGGATACGTTAGTAGAGCCATTAAGGGTGTGTATCGGTATGTCACTCGGCCATACGGGTTCGGGGTCGTCAGGAAACTGTCAAACGCTGGGAGGTTACCATTCGGCAAGCCATAGTGAGGACGCAAGGAGGCCTCTTGACCCCCGACAAACACGGCATAATCGATATCCGTAAACTGTAAGCTCCAATCCGACTCATTACTTTTCCAAAGTCCACCGTGCCATACTCCGGGTTCCAGTAAACACATGTGAATCAATCCTGACAAGACATACAACCAATCGATTGCGTACAACACACGCGCCGCAGAATGCAAGACCGGGCGCCAATCAGTGATGGAGCGAAACATTTTTATTTATGCGCGTGTTCGACGGTGTGCTCGTCAAAACTACACCTGCCACCATGGCCGTCATTGAAGAACTAAACGAAATGACCGACTTCATCCAATACAGAATCAGCGACGAGTACGTGCTGTGCAAACCCAACTCCACCACGACACTGGAGGTAAGCTTCTCTACCTTGCGCTTGCCCAACCAACCCCGCCGTTTCATGTTCATTTTTCCTGTCAACCCAGCAAGTGATGTTCTGCTTTTTACAGAAACAAATACGGGTGATACACGAAAAGCATGAGAAAGTAACCCGAGATGCAGTCAATGCCTGCAGCAAAGAGCGTGCTTAATAACAAAAAATCATCTATTTATTGTAACCAAGAGAATTCCTTCCCAAACCGAGCAAGTATGCGCTAGGTAGTCCCTTGAACCGCAAAAACTCGTTGCCAGTGCGCAAACGCCGGAATAGAATTTTCTCGCAGCTCAGAACACACGTGTGCGCGCATCCAAATATCACATGAGGCGCACGTGCTGGCTTTCGTTAATCCTCGGTGCGGCTGCCATATGTCCCTGCGGAAAAGCGAGAGGTCATGGTCATGATCACGCACATCATGAGCACCGATCCTTATCCTTCTTGAGCCTAGCGTCAACGGAAATCGACCCGGCATTTGTCGTTGAGAATTTGACGCCAAAGGCAGCTCAAGCTGCCAACCAAAAACAGCTGGAATTGGCAAAGGTATTGGCTCTCGCGGTACATGACATTCCTGCAGGTTAATCTTCACGGCACCAAATTGTCGAGCCGCAAAGACCAGAGCCAGGCTGAGGAAGCCCGCTCTCTGCGAAAGAGTGCTTCGCAGCTTGCCAAACTTGAGCAAGAGCAGTTAAATTCACTGAACCTTCAAGCCGCCAACAGCGATAACATGCAGGCTCTTCAAACGATCCACACTGTACAAAACTCAGGAGCCCCGCCGGCTGGTGGATCAGAGAACACCCCTCAGAACCAAGCCACTCTTCCTCAAGCAGATTCCACATCGGCTTCAGCAGCATCGGTGCTTCCAGCGGCGCTTCCATCGGCAGCAGCAGAACCAGCGCTGCCATCATCAGGAGTCTCGCTGCCCTCGGCGGAAGCGGGGTCACCATCAGCAGACTCGGCGTCGGGAAAGCCTTAGCCTAATAGTGGGTATCCGCAGATGCCAGTTGGTTCTCATCATTCTCAACCACTTGGAACCTGTACAGCTGTTTTCTCGATTTGGTGTTTATCTTGTTTTTGAGCCAGCTTCGGCCACGGGCTTCGAAGTTATTGTGGCTCGCGCTGCTGTGAGTCCTGGCTCTGAAGATTCTGTCCAGGCAGCAGGTTCTGTGATATACGAAGGCAATGACGCGGTGTAGCCTCCTGTGGAAGAAGGTACGGTGGTAGCCGAGGTTTTCGTACATGACTTCCTGGACTTCGAGCGTGTCGCAGAGCGGCAGGCCGAGTGTGTCGGGTAACGTAGTAGTGCCCAGGAGTCCCGCCGCGATAGCGATACCGCCGATGAGTAGAATGCTCGTGTCCTTGAAGCGGGTGTCGAGGACTTCGCTGAGGGGAATGATGAGTCCGGCGAATACGCTGCCGAAACCGAGGAGCAGACCTAGGGCGCCGCAGCGCACGCTTGTTGGCACGCATTCGGCGGTATAGACGAAGCACATCTGGAACACGGCGGAGAGCATGGAGCGCCCTGCTGCGGCCATGGAAACGGGGAGCACGGTCTTGGTGGATTGGCTGATCGAGAGGATGGCAGAGGCTACAAGCATGCACCCGGCGCTGAAGCTGAAGGACAGAGTGGCGCCCTTTCGGCCGCACCAGGAGCGTCCGGAGAGGAGGATGACGATGAGCGAGCAGGGCAGGTCCATGACGTAGGTCACGGCGGTGAACATCATCATGAGCTTACTCTTTTTGCGAAAACTGACCACTGGGTGGTCGGGTTCCAGTGGTGCCTCCTCTGGCTCGAAGTCACGTCGCATGTCCGCCAGCATCTGGTCCAGCTCATAGTCGTCATAGAATTCGTTCGCTTTTTCCGGGATCATCCTCGCCTTGTCGAGCAAAAAGTATCCTCCATCGCGGAGGTAGGAGTTGAGCAGCTCGAAGTACTCCTGTGGGGTCGGCAGGTTCTCGCTGAGCAGCTCCTTCTCTGCCTCGGCCACTTGGTCCCCCGGGACTTCTGAAAGCGCGTTGGAGAGCTCCAGGGGTTTGATCGGCGTCTCGGACACCGTCTCGTTTTTGGCGTCTCCCTCGGCAGCCGGCACGCTCGGGGGTGCTGCCAGCGGTTCCTTTCGTTCAATGCGTTGTGGCTCCTCGGGCAGCCGTTGCTCAGGCGCCGCGTGTGGCAATTCCTGACGCACGGGCTGCTCAATTTGTTGTTGGGGAGGGAGGGCTTGGACGGCGGGCAGCTGCTGTTGGGCAGCCATTGCTTGCAGCAGTCGTTGGTGGGCGGCGTTGGAGTAGGGGAGGCGGGAGTGTAGCGGGGTGGAGTAAGGCAGCTGGTCCGGTAGAGAGAACGGCAGGTTTGGTTGGAGTAGTCTGGCTGGTTGGTTCACCGGAGGCGCTAGTGGAGCTTCAGCGGAGTTGAGCATCAGTTCTTCGATGAGGGGGTGGTACCTGGTGTGCCAGATGCCGGAGTAGACGGTGGTGGCGGCAACCCAAACCCAGACGAGTGTGGCGATCCAGACGGAGGTTGGGAAGGAGGAGCAGGCCTTGACGACGGAGTCCGGGGCGGCGAGGTACTGCACGGACATGAGGGAGAGTTCTTCGTCAAGTTCTTCAGGTGTGCGTATGACGGTTGCACGGGAGCTTTCGACTTCGGTTCGGATGAATTCTTCGAGAGTAATGATGTCGCGTTCGTCAACTTTGTTGTAGAGCGCGATGTGGTTCCAAATTTGATAGGCTTCCTCCATGCGACCCTTGCAGGCGAGCCACTTGGGCGACTCGACATAGAGGCCGGTGATCCAGACGCAGCCGCCGATGAGCCAGACACAGGGCACAATTGTGGAGAGCGTGATGGTGCGCCAACTCTCCACGAAGTAGGAGACCACAGCAATGTACGCACCGCCGAGAGAGAAACCGATGACTTGTGACAACGCCAGGTAGTGTCTGCTGCCGGTGGGCATGAGCTCAGCCGCCGTCACGGCCGTGGGGATTAGCATGAGGGCTAGCACTACGCTTACAGCCGCCGTGCAGACGCTGTAAAAGTAGACGGAAGGCGAAAAGGACGACAAAATCTGCAGGAAGAAGAAACACAATGACCCCAAATTAGTCATCGGCTTGCGTCCCAACTTATCCGCCAGCGGCATCAACAGGAAGGCGCTGCCCGCCATGCCCAAGAACGTAATCGCACGCAACAAAATCACCGAAGTGAAGATACTCCTCGAACAGGAAGAATCCTTCAACTCGAACTGAGACACCACTGACGAACTTGGGTTAATGTAGTGCTTCTCCACCTTCGCATCGCACAACCCCTCCCCCGTTACCGGAACGTTCGGGTTGCACTCTTCCAACATACGCACCATGGACTCCAATGTACCAGACCCGAGCGGAGTACCGGACGGAGCACCGAACGGAGTAGACCCCGATCTTTTTGTGAGAGACTCTTTCAGAAGAGAGCCCTCCAGCTGAGAGTGTGCTGCAGGCTGCTCACCGTGTAGAGACCTTGCACACACGGGGAACACGGGGGGCTCCCGCGTAACCATCAGGTTCGAAGCGATGGTCGCCCCCGTCGTAAACCAAACTGTGCCGAGCAACAGCAGCGAGTACCGAATCGCAAAGCGGTTGCTCTTGCTGGTTGCCAATCCCATCATGTCCGGCACGTAGGACGGCACAGCAACGGCAACACCCTCGTTCCCGCTCTCTGAGGATGAAGACATCTTGGCAAAAAAAAATCGCGTGCAGATCGCATGGCTGCTCCCAAGCGCCAGTCACAAAGGAAGTGTACAATGGCGGCGTCCCGTGAATGGCACCTCTACTAGCGCCGCCGTGCTAGAAAGGATATGCACCCCTGTGTCGTGTGGCACCGGCGGGTTGCGCACGAGACTCTGCACAGGTGCATGAATTCTACTTGGCCGAGCTACCCCTTTGTGGTTCCATGAGATCCGTCAGCGTACCCTGCGTTGTCAGCGTACCCCTGCGTTGTCAGCGTACCCCTGCGTTACCAGTAGCTAGCGGGCAGTAATACGATGAGTCAAACGGAAAAAAGGAAGAACGCCGTAATCGCCGTGTTCAGCGAAGGGGCATCCAGCCGTAGTTCTGTTTGAGTTTGAAGGTCGTCATGCCCCAGCACTCTTTGTAGAGTTGTTTGAGTTTAGATCGACTGAGATGGAGTGGTTTGCCTCGAACGAGGTAGCGGTCTTCTTCGCCGAATTCATCTCGATAACAGGAAGCCCAGGCGGTGATTTCAGCGACGGCTGGTCGTACTACAACGAGGAATACGACGGTGGATGCGGGGTGGAAGAAGACGCCGATGCGAGATGCACATGTTTGAGTGTGACGAGCGAGAGGGTGTGTTGGCGAAGCACGCCGGTGTTTGGCGTAAGCGCAACAGTTATCCGAACAAATGTATGCACCACAGTATAAGCAGATGTACATTTGATTTTTTGGAACATGCAATACGCCCGTTGCTAATTGTGCGGGAGTCAATCGCCGTTCACCCGGTGGGGCACGTAGCAAACTCTCCTTTGGCAACAACTTCCCGATCACCGCGTGGAATAACAGGTCGAACTTCGGCGGCAGGTTCACGAAGTACGGTACCCACAACCGCGTCCGCACGTCGAACTTCACACCCGGGTTTGAATCCCGGCTCTGCACCGGAGTCTGAGAACCCGGGGTCTGAGAACTCGGGGTCTGAGCCATATCATGCGGGAGACTTATCCAGGCGCTGAAGAGGTTCAGCGCCGGGTCGGCCGCTTTGCCATAGACGCTGGCCATGTAGGCGCGCCAACCAGAAGCGCTGTACACGTTCGCCATGGGATGTAGGTACCACCAAAGGAATTGACGCGTGAGGGGCTGCGTCGCATGGCTAGCCAACATGCTCAGCACGTTGGTCGCGTGGTAACCGAAACGCTCCGTCTGATATAAAACCTCCTCAGCTGCATCGTTCTCTACCACCAAGTCCGTCTGCAGCGACGTCGCGCAGTTGCGCATCAACGTTCCATCCTCACGCACCGGCTGCACGACCCTCGTGCACCGACAGTACCATGACTCGCGGAGGCACTCAGCCACGTCTTCCAATACACACCGCGCCGCCCCTTCCACCACGCCCGGACCCGAGCGATCCGCGCGGTACAGTGCGGCCAGGGGCTCCAGCGGCGTGCCTTTGACTAGCGCGTTGAACATAGCCAAGACCTGCTGTGTGGTCAGGCTCTCACCTTCCGCATTCTTTCCCTCCCCGCTCTTCCCGTCCGGATTCTTACCATCACCACTCTTGTCGCCGGTCTCCGAAGCCTTGCTCTTTTTGATCGAATTGCGTAGGGACTCGGCGAACGGGCAGTCGGGGTCGAATATGGCTGGCGTGTGCGACTCCTCATCCGCGGCTGTCATACCCGCGGTGGACACGGCTGGGTTGTCGGTTCGTTCCGGCCACAGCGCTTGACAGAAGAGGCGAAGTTGTCTGAGGAAAGGGAAGGTGGCGAAGAGCATAAGGCGTGTGAGCACGGGCCACTCGGCCTCCTGGAGGCTTGCATCTGTACGGACGGCATCGCGGAGCGCGTCTGCAGTGTTGAGTCGGAGTGGATGGGTCATCCGTTGCATGTACAGATGTCTCCGGCGGGTGGCGAGTACTCGGCAGATGTCTCCTTCGTTTTGATCTGCCAGGAATTTAGCGTAACGGAAGATGACGTCCTCGGGTACTTCTGCAAAAGTGCCTTTTCGTTGGCGTTCGAGTTCATCCGCAGGGGTTTGGCCACGGTACTCGTCAAGGAAGGGCTCGGTAGCACGGTATGCATGTTCCTCCGTGTGCGGTGGTGGCACACTGCTACGCGACACACCGCGAGGTGGTGGCGCACGTCGAGTCATGGCGTTCACATTGTAGCGGGCTATTTCGACCATTTCCCGCACATTCATCAATAAGTCCTCCAACGATGTCAGGCGCTGATCCGCCTCAAAAAGTCCACGTCGCGGCTCATGGTCCTCCGCCCTCGGCCCCACTGCGTCCGGAGCCGCGTCATGATGCAACTCCGCCGCGTCCGGCAACGTCCCCGATGTCTTGGGCGCACCTGGAGATGTCGCCGCACCCCTAATCCCAGTGGTCCCGGGGGCGGTCCCGGTGGCGGCTTGAACGCTATGGGCGAGTGTGCGACCTGAGACATCTGCAAACAGTCGACGGTTGCGCAACTCACGCCGCTCCAGCGGTTCGTCGCAGACCGTGATCAGGCCCTGGTTACGGCGCCGGGCTCGCGCCAACGCTCCGGCATAGGCGAGATCCAACCGCGCCGTCTGTCGCATCGCGTTTGGCGAGTCCTCCCAGAGAGCGTAGTCGCAGGCGCCGTCGCTTATAGCTGGCGGGTCACCCCCCACGAAAACCGGTCGGTGGTCCAGCGCCCGTTGCAACCACCATCCGCACTCATCCGACCCGGTCGGGATGGCAGATGGCACGTCTGAGGAAGGAGGTCTCGGCGACTGGGAGTCGCGGGGCAATAGTTGCCCAAGCGCCTCCACGGCACCGACGCGGAAGGTCTCGTTGAGAGTACCGAAGGGCTCACGGACAGGTTGCTCGTCGGCGGAGGCTTTCCACCACTGACGGTGCAGCGTGATCAAGAGGTTCAGTAGGGGGTCCGAGGTGGTGGCGTGCGTGCGCGTTTCGCCTACACGTTCGTAGGGCGCGTGATACATGCAGAGGACGTCCGCGCACTCCATAAGGAACACGGACAAACAGGCGTGCCACAAATGGCGCCCGAATCGGCAGCTCTGTGCGTCCGTGGCCGGACCGGCCGGGGTCGGGATGGGAAAGTCTTGGGATGGGAGATTTGTGGGCGAGTCATCGCCGGGTTCGGGGTCGCTGGTTGCGGCAAGCAGCAGCATTCGGCAGAGCCAGATGAAGCGTGTGCGTGTGGAGCTGAAGGATTTGAACATGGCAGTGTTCGTTTCCTGGAACTGGCTGGGTGGGACGTAGTCAGGTCGTGTGTCATCTATGGGCGAGTAACTGGTACGTCCATAGTAGAAGCAAGAGTAGAGGTTGAACTTATGGATGTCGAACCCTGTGACTGGTGGGTGGGAACATTGGAGCGCCTCTTCGCAGAACAGTCGCACGGGACCAGTGGAGGTGAAGTTGTCCGTGCGCAGTTGGTCCGCTGCACTGTCGCTCTTACCCGACGGCGGCACGGCAGTCGCGGCTTGGCCCGTGAGCCGGGTCGCTTGTAACTGCCGCGCGCACACAAAATAAAGATTCCGCAACTTCCTAAACAAGTCGAACGCGACAACCTTCATTTTGCCGTCTACTTCACGACGCATCGTCTGCTCCTCCACATGAACGATACTTGCTAACGAGTCCGACAAAACCGCCAACGGGTGCGCAAAGAGCACATGGAAACTTTTCTTTTTGTCACTGGGCGATTTGAAGCAACATTGCACCGGTACAGAAGGCGCCACCAACGAATACCGCGACGAGATAATGCAACCCAGCTCGTTTATGTCGCTCCACACCTGATCAAAAACAAACTGTGGGTTCTTCTGGAACGTAAGCGCATTTCCCAACAATAACCGACCCAAAATCTGCCGGTATGTAACTGAATGGAACAATGGAGGCAGCACCATAGTGTGCTTCATACTCCGCATGGTCCGGTGGAGGTAGTCCAACCCCTCCTTGAACACGGGGGAACGATGCGCGACACTTCTGCTGTCGACGTATGAGCCGTCCGAAAGTGTGCCAAACGCCGCTGTAACCGCAAGACGCCCGATATCCTTATAACTAGGGCTTGTCGACAGACTAGGACCAGCCGACAAACCAGGACCACTCCCCAACTTCTCGGGTCCCCTGCCGTGAGGCTCCTGGCGCTGAGACTCCAGACCAATCCGAGAGTTACTCAGATTCAAGTCAGACCCTACTCCCGATTCGAGATCCCTGCCCAAAGGGATGGGAGGGTCGCCTGAGGATGCCGGTGCGTCTAGAATGAGGCAGTTGTATCGTCGATTGCAGTAGGGGCAAATCGGCTCAGTAGTATTCGCTCTGGAGAAGAAAGGATTATTATGGTGGTCATCAACTCGCTGGCGGAATACAGTAGGAGCGATTTGGTAGCCTTCTGGAGGGTCGTCGCGATTGCTGCCACCAGTCATCTCGGCCACGTCTACGGCCACAGCTGGAGGAGGGGGTTCATCGAGAGTGTCCAGCAGATCTGTAATCGGGTCGACAGCCGGCGAGAAGATTTCAAAGTTGGGAGGCATCGTAGGGCGATTCGACTGAGACCGTTGCTGTCTGCAGCAAGACTTGTGCATCTTGTGTCCACAACTCCACCAGACGATGGAAGGCGACTGGGCGTTTACCGACCCTTCCATGGGCCACAAGTTATAGTCGATCCAGGATTGGCCCTTGCTTACATCCTCACCCAAAGGTAGGGCGGCTCCTTCCTCCGGACCTTCTTCCTCCGGACCTTCTTCCTCCGGACGTTCTTCCTCCGGACGTTCTTCCTCCGGACGTTCTTCATCTTCTCGTTGGTATTCTGGTTCGCCTTTTTCTCGATCCTCTCGTGTCTCGCCTTCTCGTTGGTCTCTCCGATTCATTTCTCGTTCGAATGAGATTGAGTCGTGGAAGAGTTCAAGAGTGTCATTTTGCGAATCCACTAAAGACTTGACTACGTCCAACGCCGCATGAGTGGCAGCGGGCGAGGTGGAGTTCATTGTGGCTTTTTTCATGTCTCGTAAGTTGATGGACAGCTCGTAAGATCGATTGAGTTTTGTGGGTGGCGCAGCTCCATGCCAGCTGCTAAATTGGTATCGTGCAAGCGTGCCGATTGGGTCGTTGGGTGTAGAGAGTGCGGAGACGCAAACAACGCAAACGTCGGATCCTTCTTCAATCACCGTTTTCTTGCAGTCGACGTTGCTATCCTGATCAGACTCGTCGCTGAAGTCGAACTGCGTCTGCTTCGCCTTGAAAGCTTCCATAATGGCCTGTTGTTTGCGCTTGATTTCATCTTCCGTCTTAATGTTGGAAGCTCTCTTTTGTTCCGCCTTTATGTCGGCCGTCGCATGGTGCGCAAATAGCCGCAAATTCAATGGATCAGGCGCAATCACTCTCAGTAATTGGTCCAATAATACAGTGGTCCCAGGCGCCACGTCGGCGGCCAAGTCATCCTTGAAAATATGCAACAGGTCCAGGGGGGTGAATTTTACGTTCGCTGACTCCATCTGCAATGCGTCCCCGATCACGAACGGAGTATTCATAAACGAGTCAAAAGGAACACTGGGGTCCTCAAACTGCTGCGCCAACTCAAACGGATCACCCACCAACGTCCGCAATGGCAAATTGGACACGGCCGGAGCCGGCAACTCCTCACCGCACACGCGTTTCCAATTTCGGAACTGGCGATCCACTATGGCTAATCTCATCAGGAAGAACCAGACCGCGATCCAGGCCTTCTCTCCTAGCGCATGTTTTATGCCACTGCCCTCCTCACTGTCTCCGTCGGACATCTGATCCTTAGATAATGAGCGGATCAGAATTTTCGATAAACCTGACTTGCCGTAGCTGACACAAAGCATCCTGATGACTCCCAGGAACCCAAGACACTTCAGATGGACGTCCGTTGCGAACGCAAATTGCCCTGGATAGAACCGCTCGAGAATGCTCCGCTCAAAATCGGTCAGCAAAGAATAGTAACTCGGACCACCAGACGGACCCCCAGACGGGCCGCCAGACACATCGCTGATTGAGTCGCTGTCACTTATGGACCAGGTCTCTCGGGAGAAAGGTGGGAAGGCCGTTTGGTACTGGAACCATCGGTCGCAGTTATCGTTTTCCTTGATCCAAGCGCCGAAGCCTTCCTCGTTCAGCTGGTACTCTTCAGAGGGGGTGAAGAGAAAGAACGGGTCGAAGTAGAACCAGCCTAGTTTCATGAGGTTGTTACGGTCCTCAGTCTTGAGGAATGCTCCCGAGGAGTTCCCTTGAGTATTACTTCCATCGCTGGAACCGACGCTCTGCGGACTGGGAGACGAATTGTCCCTTTCCTGTCGGTCCTGTCGGGGGTCTTGGCCGGGTCCGCAATGAGTAAGTATGTTTCGATTGCCGTCGATCTCGTCTGTTAAGAGGCCATGGCTAGGGTGTGTGCTCCGGTCCAGACGGATGCGTTGTTGTTTGTGGCTATTCCACTTGTTAATGACTTGGAGTACAAGTTGTTTGCTAGCAGAAGAGTTGCACGCTTCCTGTACTTCGGAGATACTGGGTAGAACCATGTTGGCCTCTGCCGATAGACAAGGTAGGAGGAATCGATGAAGCACGAGCCGTTCGAGTAGGTACAGGTCGAGGTTGGTCGTGGGGCTGTTCGGTCGTAGGTCGGTGTAGGATCCTAGTACGGGGTTGGTGGACAGGTTGAGCATGGATCCGACGACGGCGAAGAAGGCTGTGAGAGTAGTATCGCGATTGGTTTGTTCGACGGTGGCCTCTTCCTCCGGGACCATTTCAAGTGTGGTGGGAATATTGAGTCGGCTGAGAAGGAGCACAAGGATCGCGCTGATGTGCAGGTTATTAACGCGGGCAAAGTTGAGCAGTGGCCAACCGACAAGACGCGATGCTCGCTCCTTTAGCGGCGACTTTGCGACCCATTCTAAACGCTCCTTGCACTGCTGGAACTCCGCTTGGTTCTCCAGCGACCAGTGTCGACCACGGGCCTCACCGGCCATCAAAAAAGCGAGACCCAGAGCACGCAGATCCGCCTCCAGATAGTAAGTTGCCCAGTGGTGCCGCCGGTACAACGCCGTCTCGTTGTGCACCGCAATCCCGTTCCTCGTCCAGAGATGTCCAGCAGCACTCTGAATATGGAAAGCGATGGCGCGAATAGGAAACTCAAGACCAGCCAGGAACTCACTTATCAACCGTCCTGGCCCGGCCACGTACTTGAGCAGACTGAGAGCCGAGCCGCCACTACGGAAATAGAGGGTCAGAAAGGCCCAGACCGTTCGCGACAGCGGGATCTGCAGCGTCACGAAGCAGTGGGTTAACGGGTCCTCAACGAAGAAAATACGTGCTGCCCACGACGGGCCGGAGACGATGACCGTGGTCCCTCCCGGGTCGCCGGTTAGAGCGTCCTGCGTTCCGGCGACGAAGGCACCTTGGTCGCCAGCGTCCGCGAAGGAACCTCGGAACGTAGTATGCTGGTTTGCTACATTCTGAGGGGGTGCTGGCTCCGGGGGTAGCGGCGAACCCCAATGGGTGCCGGGTGTGCCCCAGGGCGTGGCGGGATCGTCGAGGTCAGCGTCGTCGTCTGAAAGAGGTGTGGGCGCGGCGAAGGAGTTGAGATTGTTCAGAGCGGCGAGTTGAGTGCCGTCGCTGACGGCAGCAAGTCGCAAGTGTTGTTGCAGGAATTCGTTGGTCAGTGCAGCGTTGACCCAGAGTTGGTGTGCCTGGTGTGCAGCAGAGAGACACGCGTGTCGGAGACTGGCACAACGAGGCTGATGGGTGGCGAGGTAATGTAGGAACCCTCCGACAGAGCTGAGTAGTTCAGAGACGAGCACGAAAGCCTGGCTCCAGACCCCGGCTTCTTCGAATTCGACGTGATCCAGTGTCCGGCGTTGGTAGTGTGTGCAAGATTGGGCGAGTGCGAGGAGCCGTAACCAGCCATCCAACAGGTACTGCTGTTTAAGTCGGGGTATATCCCGTGTTATCATGTCTAGAACCAGCTGCGAGTCGACTAGGGCGGTGCGTATATCGCAGAGCAGATGCAACACACGTTTTCTATTATAATTTTGCGCAGATAACTGCAGCCGCGGTGGCCACGGCGTAGATAGGTCCAGAGTCTTCTCCAACAGATGACAACCACTACCAAATAACAGATTGACCAGGTCACCATTGTGGTACAAGTCGGCCAAGACCGCGCCGATGCTAAACAACTGAACCGTCAAACGTTCCATAGCCGGATCACTACACTGGATCAAATGCCAGTAATGGTGCACGAACTCCCGGGCAAATCGTAGCTTAAACCGCCTATCGAACATGATATCCAGTAACAGATTGGTCAAATGCGCGTGCACACCCGTTATCCGCACGTGTGCGCGACCCACCACATTGCTAACTCGGCGCTCCTCGCGCTGCAGGCGTGGCAATAAGTACAACGACGTCGTCAAAAAGTTGAAACGACTCCGCACATCCGCCTTCCCCCGTCGCCGCGACGCTATCATGCCACCCGCCCGACGCCGAAACGACCCGAATTGGGCGTTGCGACCGCCGGCCATCGCCGTAGCCTCCCTTACGCTGTCGCCCAGAGCGTCTTCCGGCGTAACCTGAAAATTCGCACCCGGTGTCTGACCACTGGGTGTCTGACCACTGGGTGTCTGACCACTGGGTGTCTGACCACTGGGGGTCTGATCACTGGGGGTCTGACCACTGGCGGGAATTTGCCCCGTGGCGGGGGTCTGACCCGTAAGGAGGGGGGTCTCGCCAAGAGGGGTAAGGCCGGTGGGAGTCTGGGTGCTCTCTTGGTCGGAATCGAACCTGCGATCGGTAGGTGGGACGGGTGTGAAGTTATTGCGGTTGTTTCCGGGGGGCTGTCCGACGGTGCGGCTGAGACCAAAGACTGTCATGAAGTCCCTGAGGAAGTTGGTGGCCTCGTTGGGTCCGCGAGAGTTATCGTTGTAGCCTTTCCTGCAGGCGACTGACTGGATTCGGGGGTCCGAGAGGTTCGGGAAGCAGGCCAGGGAGTCCAGTAGTGAAATGTCGAATAGCCGGTTGGGTTTGAGCTCAGCCGCAATGGCTACAATGCGGCGCACACCTTGATGACACCGGGACCAGTCCGTTATACAGGTAACTAACCCCTCGATCGTGTTGACCATCGCGCCCGTCGCCTCAACGGGGTCTACGAGTTCGCCTGACGGCACAGTGAGTCCCATGACTGAACTGACTAACAAACCTGTTACACGTCGAAGCAGGATGGAGAAGACAATTAAGAACCGTAGTCGCAAATCGGGGTGAATCAAAAGCGAAGCATCGAAAGCATCAAATTCCTCACCCCCAGATGCCACGCGACGGGTCATTGCCCCATCTTCCAAGCTCATACTCCGGTTCACCTCTTGACTTCTACTCACCTCTTGACTTCTACTCGGGTCCTGACTCCAATAGAGATCCTGACTCCAGCTCAAATCCTGGCTCGTATTGAGTCCTTCATTGGTGGATTGGGATGCCGGCATTGATGAAGATGTGACAAGTTTAGCGCGTATCTGTTTCCTCCGAGTAATTCGTGTCCAATAACGTTCGTACACTTGTCTGATTCGTTGATCGCGTCGCGGTGCCGTTTGCCATTGTGCGTTGGCAACTTTTCGCTCGTGTTCGATAACTTTCCGCACCTTATCTGTGGGCAGGTGTCTTTTACAAAATCCTTGTTCCTTCCATGCGGAAGCATCACCACAGTCGCAACAGCCACCGAGCTCCGATCGATAGACGATGTAATCGTGACCGCGGTGGTCACTGGTATGGAAACATGTTGCGCAAATGCAACTGGACGCAACAATAGCACAAGTAATACACCGATACGCTGTATGCTCACCTTCCCAACATGTGTTGCAACGACTAGCACGCACAGGTAATTGATTTAATAGCTTACACACGTGTTCGACACTCCGATCCGTCTTTCTCAACGCCTGTCCAGGGCGATCAGCCACATGTTGCAAATCCGTCACGACCAAATGGTTCAGAATATGCACTGTATTCAGGTCTCCCAGGAAATAAAACAGCATATCAACTAAGGTGAAGAATCGCTTCAACAACTTGCGCTGAGATCCTACAGTCGGCATTCTCTCACCCGGCATTCTCTCACCCGGGGCTCTCTGACCCGGGGCTCTCTCGTCTGGGACTTGTTCTGCAGTACCGTCTTCCATTGCCACGTCTTGCGCTCCCGGATCTTCCAGGTCGTCGTTTGGTTCTTCTGCGGGGTCCCCTTTCAGCACCTGTTCCAGAATTGCCGCGAGATGCTGCGAGATTTCTAGCACCTTGACGGCGTTGACATCGAATCCTCGCGGGGAGTGAAGTTCGGCGTGCAGGCTTTTGAGGGGCGTCCAGTTGTGCGGTTTGGATTTGATTGGTAGGTAGTTGGCGGCGCGAAAGATCATGGGCATTTTAGCGTCATCTTCATGTGTATCGTGTATATTCTTTCCTTGCTGTCGGAGCTCCATGGTGCGATAGCTTGAAAACAAAGTGTTTGCGTCTAATGTCTGCAGCATGACTATTCGGTCTTCTGCAGTCAAGTGAGAGGTGCTGCATGGGTATACCGTGAACGGCGGACATGTCCGGAAGCGTGAATCATCCTCTCCCAATAACTTCAAACATTCGTGTTTCGGACGACCTAATAACATGTGCACGCATACATGCACGCAATATGCACGCCACCACATACACGACTACTAATCATGGTCAGTTTTAGCTGCTTCTTCTGTTTAACCATCCAGCCATCTTCTCTACCCGGCCTATAGTTTTTACCCCGACCCGGGTTTCCATGCGGATGGACTTAACCGCCGGAGACGGCAGCATCGTGGCTGCCGCACTCAATCAAGAGTCGGAATTCGTGGCGGCCGGCACTAGCAAAGGAAAAATCGTGATTGCAAACCCCTGGAAGCGAATTGTGGTCGACACTCTGAAAGGTAATAGTGCACTCACTCACTCACCCGATGCGCATGTGTGCACTCAACCTAACCGTCAATAACCAAAAGCATAATCCTTACTCCCCTCATCCTCCTCCTGGCTTCCTCCGGTTCATCCTCCTCCTGGCTTCCTCCCGCTCCCTTCCTAGCTTCCTCCGGCTCCCTTCCTGATAGTGTTCCCTTCCTGGTTTTTCTGCTACGTTCTGCGTCTATAGGTGGTCATGCTGGAAGTGTCACAAGTTGTAGTTTCAGCGCTTCGAACCAACATGTATTATCGTCTGGTCTGGAGGAACGATTTGGGGTGTTATGGGACGTGAATACAGGCAAGGTAGTTCATCGTATCAGTGACGCAACCGTGTCCAATGCTCTTGGGGGTGTGCTCTGTTCGGGATATTTGGACGATGGGGTGGACGACCGGCTGGATGACCGCTTGGTGTATACTGGCGACCGTCTTGGGTGCGTCACGGTTTGGGACTTGCGTCAGTCCCGAAACGCACTCAATGTTGCCGACGCGCTCGGAGGCAACCTGGTCCAACGGAGTTACGGAGTTGGAGGGAACGGAGTTGGAGGGAACGGAGTTGGAGGGAACGGAGTTGGAGAGCGGACCTGTGGTACTCCTTCACGTGGCAGGATTTCCACGACGCGAACGAATGCCGTAGTCGACCAATTCACGCGGGCAGCTGGTGCCATCACGAGAGTCATACCGTTGCTGCGACGGAGCCAGCTAGTAACTTCAAGCATGGACGGGTTCGTGCGGGTCTACGACATCCGTAAGAGCTTGGTGAGGGAGCACTTCCTCCACAGCGGCGTCAACGGCTTGGCAACTTCCCCAGAGGGGGACGGCATGTGCTTTGGCGCGTCATGTTTAGGTGGCAAGCTGTACCTCATCGATAACGAGGAAGGAACCCTCTCGGACATCCCGACTCACGTCACCCACGATCTCAGCAAGCCTCCGGATGAACTCGCCAGTGAGGTTCTCAACTCCGCTTCGATCGCCGACAACTTCAACTCAGACTTGCTCACTCTCGCGTTTTCCCCCGACGGCGAGCTCCTATGTGTACCAGCATCCAACGGCCAAGTCTATGGATGGAACACTCTCGATCGAAACGTTGTGAAGCTCAAGTCCCCAGGGGAGGCCCAGGGGCATGTCAACGGCATCTTGTTCGTCCGGGATAACCTGGCCACGTGGACCAGGATCGACGTTCTGGGAAAAAGGGTAACTCTCACGGGCAACACCATCAGGACTGTCTCACCAGCCAGGTCAATCTTTGATTGATGACTACGTGCAATGAAAACTATGCTTCTCTGTAGGACGAGTCTTCCCCCAGAAAAAACTGGTATTTGTCCTTTGACAGCGAAGGCATACTGACGGTAGAATCATTCAACGGCCCAGAATAACAGGTAGTGTCAGGATAACAGGTAGTGTCAGGACGATAGGCAATGTCAAGATAACAAGTAGTGTCAAGATAGCAGGAATGGCCATGTGGGAAGGCAGTGCCAGGCAGGTCAGGAGAAAAGGGAGGGAAACAAATGCTATGAAACGAGAGGGGTCAGGCCGGCGGGGCAGAGTGGTCCAAATGTGCAGTACATGCCAAGTGCGGCACGACCCAAAGTGCGGTGCGGTGCGGGTGGTTATTTGATGCGTGTGTGTTGAGAGGTGACTTCGCAATCATCTGGAGAGAGGATGGCTTTCGGCCTCGTGAGACTTCGGCCGGTTCTCTGTGTGGGTGGATGTGTGCCGAACTCGGGTTCCGGCTTGAGTGGTGGTGGCGAGGTGGCGGCGGGTGGCGTCTTGTAGCTGTTGGCTCGGCAGATTTGGCGGTTGTAGTATTGGCGTTTTCTGGAGGAGGAATCGTCCATGGAGGCGACTTGCTTAAGCGGGCTGCCGCCATAGCGGCGCGTCTCGGCCTCATGTGCTGCCGCGTTGCGGGTAGCCGGCGACGTGATGATCTCGCTCGCGATGTTGCGCAACTCAAAGTCGCAAGGTCGGCATCCGCTCTTCCAGCGCCGGTGCGGCCGCGCAGGAGACTGCTCTACTCGGCGCGGTTCCGGCGAGCCGCGCCCGCCCTCGGGTGAACTCCCCGGCGAAGACGTCAGCTCACTCCACTCGCGCCGCTGCTGCTTCCGACACTCGAGCAAACTCGCCAACTCCCGCATCGTCAAAATTTGCTGGTGCAACGGATTGCTGCACGTCGCTCCCCGACCTGTTATCGGCCCGCTCCC